CGTCCTTCATGCAACATCAACGATGTAGGTTCAACTTTCCTCAACATCCGTACTACGTTGCACTTTTAGCATGGGCTGCATGCCGTGAACAGTGACGTAGGCGTGCTAGCTGCTAGCAAACACACTACCCGACTTTGTCGTCATGAACTCGACTGTGTGACATGAACAACATGAACGACATGACAAACGTCCTGGAAGAACATGCCAATGATAGCCATCATCGCAAGGCGGCCATTGGCGATTTCGGCATTGAGCTTTTTCGTCTTCTCAGCAGGGTCGGAGGAGGTCAGCACCTTGAACCCGAAGTCACCTGCATAGGCTGCGGTGCCCGGCTCCTGCGTCTGCGACACCTCGCAGTAGGCCATGTACAAGAGGATCTGACCCCAACCTGCCTGAGGCACCTTGGAGATTGCAGCCAGGCCATTCGGGATGTCTGCGAATTTGAGGCCTGCGCTTGGGCTCAAGTATCCTGGGAATTTTCCGGTGATCTCGGGCGTGATGTAACCCATGGTCGCAAGCATGGCAATTCTTCCGTGCTTAATCTCGGTGGCACGGCGGCGCTTGAAGTTCTCGACGCTGCCATCCGCTGACAGGCCTGCTGGATCCCAGAAACCCACTGGTGCCTGGACACCAAGTTCGTTCTCGAATGCACGCAGAGGCGAGGCAGTGTAGTTGGCCCAGTCTCCCCACGCGCTGCCAGTGAGCCCGTCCTTCATGCAACATCAACGATGTAGGTTCAACTTTCCTCAACATCCGAACTACGTTGCACTTTTAGCATGGGCTGCATGTCGTGAACAATGACGAAAGCATGCTAGCAAACACACGACTGGAGTTGTCGTCATGAACTTGTATGTGGCATGAACAACATGGCAACAAACAGCTGCAATCATTCACTTGATGCCTGGAAGAACATGCCAATGATAGCCATCATCGCGAGGCGTCCGTTTGCCAGCTCGGCCGACAACTTTTTGGTCTTCTCAGCAGGGTCGCTGGACGTCAACACCTTGAAGCCGTAGTCACCGGGAGTTCCGCTCTTGTAGTCATCAAAGCCGCCGCTGAATTCCACGAAACCGAAGTATGCGGCGATCTGTGCCCAGCCTGCTACGGGCACCTTTGAGACAGCGGCAAGGCCGTTCGGGATGTCTGCGAACTTCAAGCCGGCGGATGGGGACAAAAATCCAGGCCTCTCAACACGTCAACGATGCTTCAGAATCACCGCTGCTCTCACATCTAAAGAGACTGTTGACATGATGCCAAGGGCCCCGCAGCTTGCCAGTGATCTCAGGTGTGATGTAACCTCCAATGCTTGCAGCATCTTCCATTATGCAAACAGTTTGTGTGGCACAAGTGGATCACTTCCTTTGCCCCGCTCCCAGGTTTCTGGCATGCCGTGTGTGAGTCGCATCTGCGCATTAGCAGATGCCTTCCGAAGTGGACACGAAGGGACCTCCACCGAAGCGTCATGAGAATTAGTTCAAGAGGTGACTCGAGACACCTCGTGAAATTTCAAGACCCTAGAACACGTCAAGCAGCCCATGGTGGCCATCATGGATATTCTGCCATGCTTCCTGAAAGCACAATGTGAGGCTTTTGTGTTGATGGTTCCGGATCAGAGTTTATGTAGGGTACCCTAAACTTTAAGTGGATATGAACTTTTACCCGGTTGGAAGAAAAAGTGCTCTTAACTTTGAACCCCTAGATTTTGACCTTAACTGATAGGACCCTTGTTCTGAAGGATGATCTACCCTCCGACAGTTAACAGGCGGCTTCAAGGTTTAAGGTTCAGTGTTTTGCGCTTTGGATTTCGAGTTTAGGATCTCAAAGAGAAGATGACTCTGGGACAGGTGTTATTGAACGTGTTTTTGTTTTCAAACAATATGTATGCGGCCACAGCCAAGTACATCTGGGACGGGGCCACTCTGCTGAGAGATCTCATGGACCTGAAATTCGATATGCTAAGCTCGAAAACCTGAGCACCACATTCGGAACCGGATACCCACATCCTGCAGCATAGGCCCAACACGGTAGCTACGAAGACTGAGACATACTGATCAAACTTTAACCCCGAATCCCAAACCCCAAACTTCCAAAAACATGTAAAGACCAAACCTCCAAAACAAGTCCTAAACCAGACCTCCACAAAAGCCGGCAGCAAGCCGCACAACGAAACCACGCCTCGCAGCCCAAAACTCGAAAACACAGACTCAACACGTTCCAAGCCCAAACATCAAAAAAAACCACAAACCTAACCCCGAAACCGGAATACAAACTAAAAACTCCTCATCCTGCGGAGGCTTCGATGCAGCCTAAATCCTAAATCCTAAACTTTCAACCGAAAGCCTTACACTCTAAACCTTGCAAGCAGGTTCGCTAACAGGGACGATTTTACACGGTGTTACAGGTGCTGTTAAGCCAAGCTTTTTGGACTTCACTTAGGCCTTGCTGGAAAACGTGGAAGGCACGAAATGTTCGATACATTTCCAGAATTAACTGATGGATGAAAAGTCTGTCAGGTGTGTCTTTGCTTCTCAACACGGAAATGACACAGGAACGCATGGCGTGTCTCTGCGCCCTATTTTGCTGCCCTTTTTGAGGTTTCTTTGTTAGGTGTTTGGGGGGTGACGTACATGTCGGGCCCTCCTTTTCAGCGACCATTCTCGGCACTGCCATGTCCACAGCTCTGACACCGCCTCCGACGTGACGAACTCCAAATGCCAGCAGTCCGGCCGGCCATGATGTCGTCGAAAGAACTTCGAGCAAACATGTGCTCCGCACTTGCAGCCAGAAGAGCATCCAGAGCGTCTTGTCGTCAGACCGTGTTGAGCCAACATCTCCAAACGCCCAAAGCGGCGCTCCAACATCAAGAAGCAGCTGTCTATAAAGATTGTATAGTTGGGCTCCAAGCAACAAGGATATTTGCTACCGTTTTTCCGCTGCAGAGTGCATGCTCCTATCAGGTGCTCAAACAGCAGCTCCAACCGCATGCGACTCGGGCGATCTTCCATCAGCATACCGAATATCGCGATTGCTATGGCCAGGTCCGCTGGGTCTGAGCACAACAACTCAAAATGAGCTGTCAGGTCTTCCAAGGACACAAATCGCCAACGACCCAAGCACAGTGGAAGACATAGGTTCCAGTGCCGAACGATCACGATGCAGCACAAAGCCAAGGCCAGGATTGCGCCTTCTTTCAACATGACACCGGGGAACAAGTGCCAGGCTGTTGCCAATCGTGTCATGTCTGCATGAACTTCATGTGATTTCAGCTGGCTGTTGCTAATCAAGGCTGCATGAACTTGACGTGGTTTCAAGAGTTGCAATCTGGAGGAAGTCTCCATATCAAACGACCACTTGATTATACCAAGCTGCAAAGTCATCCACTGTCATTCTTCTCTTCACGAGCCTCTCGTCCTTCTGCAGGATGACGTCGTGGCAAAACCCTGAGTTGACTCGGAACATACTTGAACATAACCTTTCTGAAACCCTTTAATCCCCTGAATCAAAAACAAGAAATCCCGTACAAAAACGAGTCGACACCACCCCTGTTCGTGAACCTGCTGGGTAAACCCTGAACCCTCCTTCACGTGCTGCCAAAGCGTCAACTCCACAGAGCGGCGCCTCTTAAAGGTTGCCACGTCTCCTGAGCTTTCGAAGGCTGCTTGGAGCGTCATGGGACTTTTCTAAGCTTATAGGTTACTAGGTCCCATGGTTCTTTAGGTGCGTGCATCTGGCATGGCAAGGCTCCGAGGTTTAGGGCTCCGAGGTTTAGGCTTTAGGGTTTATGGTTCATGGCTCATTTTGTAAGGGCCTGGTTCAGGCTTCAGGACTTAGACTTTAAAACCTGGGAGGTCTCGCAGGAGCAATCTTCGGTTTTCGACCGTGGGAAAGCCAGAAGCGATGGCGCCGTTCATGACGCATAAAGACGGTGATCTCTCATCCGCGGGCGAGTGACAGCAGCAACACAAGCAGTTGATATGCCTGCCGAGGGCGACTATGGCAACAGGGTTTTTCTTGCTTCGCATGTGTGAGTAGCTCAGAAACTTGGCAGAACGATGTAGGTGCACGTCAAGATCGAAGCCTGCATACACAAGAAACAGAACCAAAACTCGATGCCAAGGACCACTGCAAATATGTGCAAATTATGGGCGGTGTTTCTGGAGACGGGGTGGTAGTGATGATGACGACGAGGACGACAATGTAGCAATAACTGCAATAGAAGAGGAGTCAGGCAAATGGCCGTCAACATCAGACATCGAGAGGATCCCCCGATGTAGGGCCTTAAGGCCGTAAGGCTCTCTGTGGGGACTTTAAGGGCAAATTACGACTGTTAACACCCCTACAGCGATTCCTGAACCCTACACCGGCTCCACTCAAGTTAGCAACAACAAACCCTAAACCCTGGACTCTGAACCCTAAGCCCTCAACCCTAAATGGACCCTAAACCCTAAACCCTAGACCCCGAACCCTAAGCCCTCCAGACCCTGAACCCCAGACCCTCCAGACCCCCTAAACCCTGAACCCCCTAAACCCTGAACGCCCTAAACCCTAAACCCCCTGAACCCTGAACCCCCTAACCCTAAACCCTAAGCCTAAACTCTCTTAAGACCCGCTTAAGACCTCCTTAAGACTCCCTTAAGACCCCCTTCAAGACCCCCCAAACCACAGGCTCTTGCGAGCCCGGCGGCCATCGGAAGTGAAGCCAACGGGATCCCAGAAGCCCAAAGGATCCTGCCTTTTTTGGGTTCAGGGGTTTAGGGCTTAGCTTAGGGTTCCTTTAAAGGGTACTATAAGGGCTCCTTTAAAGGGATCTATAAGGGTTCCTTTTTGGGTTCAGGGTTTA